GGTGCAGGACAAATCTCAAATTGGCGGCGGATCTTCTAACCGGGGTCCACTTGATCTGGACCTCGGAGGTGAAATGTTTCGGCAGATCAGTAGTAGGAATCGCTATATCACTTCGGAGAAGTTTCGGAAGGGTCGTTTTCAGGTCGGAATAAGTGGTGCTGGGCGGGGTCCACTTGATTCGACCTCGGAGGCGAGATGACACTTCGGTGTCCGAGGCGTGTAAAATCGGAGCGTAACACTCGTCTCTACCTTAACAGAGATTGAGAATTTAAATAAGAAAGTCCACCTGTCCCAGAGTGAAGTGGCTTCTCTGACCAAGTGAGTGGAGACTTTTGATGCACATAAAAAATTAGTTACTGTGGCCTTAGAGAGGTCAAATATTTAGAATTCTAGGTTGAAGCGGCGGGTGGGAGAGCTCAACTCTAGAATTGTTGGCCTCACGAAGAGGTGGAATGTGTTCAGGGGGAAGGCCCAATCTGCTGGCAAAGATGCTGTGAAATAGTATATAGCCATTTTTCACTTGACTGAGGAGTATTAGAGTTTCTATAGATATTGGAGGAGGTTTGCTTACACCGAGGTGATGGAATAGATTGAGGTGCAGTCAACTTTCAACACCATGAAGATGAGGTCGAAATTCTTGGAAGAGGGAGAACAGGGAAAGCTTTAAACTCCGATGGAGGTTAGCCATGTGATAGAACTTGAAGATGAAGCTGACCGGGATAACGCAACATCTGAAGCAGTATGCCCCAATGCCATCATCCCTTTTGTTGGTACTCCTCCCCCTCCCTCACCTGCTTAAGTTATTAGGATTTCCATTTTCTTATTTTCAATGTAAATGGCTTCGCCTCCATGTAATTATGAATTCCAATGAATGAAAATTCTTTTTTTTACATGTGTTATTTTGTTGAATTTCATTTAATATTATTGCCTTTCGACATCTTAATGCTTTTCATGTACTTCGACCTTTAGTAAGACTTCTTTCAAACCACTTTACAAGTGTTAGGATTTCACGTATTTTTTGACTTTATCTTTCCTCTACATAGGATTGGATGGTTCATTCATGCAAAAGCTTCCCTCACGACTTAGAGGGAGGGAGTTCAAGATAGAGGGTCTTGACTGTAAAGGATTTTGGCAATCAAGTTGGCATAGACCATTTGATTTGGTCAACCTTTGACTTTTCCTTTGATTGATGCCCTTCACCTGGTTGTCACATATGCTTGTAATAGAGCCCTATCGACAATGCGAAGCAGAATCCATTCTCAAAAAATCTATATTAAACAGAAACATGGTGATATACTAAATTTTTCAGTATTTGGTGGTCTTCACTACACGCGGATGAAGTTTTATTATATTGTGAAGGAGTATCTACCTAGCGCAGTAGGGTTGTTTATGAAAACTTATTGTAGTATCATATATATATATTTTTTAATTTTTGGTTGATAAGTAGTTTCAAAATTTATACTAGCTTTATTTTTACTCTTATAATTTATTTATAATTGCTTATAGCCTTGTACTCTGTATTTAGCCCTCATTTGATTTCCATTATTTCTAAAATACATTTTTCACTTCTCCAATAAAATAATATTACACACAAATCCAAATTTTTTTTTATTTTATTTTATTTTAAACCACACCTTCTCCATCAAAATATAATTCCAAAATGCATTTCCATAAAAAAAAAAAAATGAATAAAATAAAAATGGAGTTAAACATGCTGTAAGTTTATTTACATAATAAATCGTTTCCAATCACGAGGAACAAGCAACTTTTTTCCCTTTTTTGTGTCAAAACATTTGCCTTTTCTTTAAGTCGGTCAAATTACTCTGTTACCTTCAAAATTTTCCCCATTTTGCACAAATTTGTTACATCTCAATAATATATTGTCAAAACTAACTCTCTTATTTTAAAATAAATAAAGAAAACTGATCCGGTATTTTGACAAAAAGGAAAAAGAAAAATCAAACTTCGAAACTTATTCAATGCAAAAGAGGAAAGTTTCCATTATTGATAAAATGCTAATAGACGAGACACGAATTTCTCATAAACGTGCTCAAAATCAAGTCTAAGCTATGATTCTTGAAATTGTAACTCAGACTTATATTTTTGTCAAATACGTACATTTCTTTGCATTTTTTCAAAACACACCCCTTTGTTTTTTATCCAACAAAAAGCTCGACACACCAGATAAGTCGCAATTAAAAACCCAAAACGGTCCACTTGAGCCTCGAAAACTAAACATAAATCAAGTGTTAGCCTGGATTATTACAGGCAAAGGTGCAAAGCAGAACCCACTTCAATATCATACCAAGGGCTTGTTCGGTGGTGATCATGAAAACTGATTTTTTGTTCGTTAAAGAGAAAAGTGAATCCTACCTATGAGTGATGAAGTAAAAAATAACGACTAGAATAGTTAGATAACGGCAAAAAGAATTAATTTTTTTGGTTGAAAAATTGCTACCAAATGGGGGCTAAGCATTATTGCCATTTGCCAAGGCTCCTGAGAATCATACTACATATTTAATTTTCCGTAACCTAATAACAAGCAAGCTAGAAAATAAACATTTATGGTGATGGAGAATTAATGCATAAACAAAACTCAACATAGAGACAAAAAATGTGAGTTCATGCCCACTGAAGAAGGCATTCATCAATCGCTGAGTCTAGAAAACAACACGAAACCAAGAGTCTAACCCAAGTCGAGTCTTCATGCCATAAGCATTTAGATACATGTACAAATGGCCGCAGAAGACAAATTTGGCCATTGGAGACTGCAAAGGTACCTCCCTTTGAGTCTACACATCAGTTTCCAGTAGATCCCTCAGGTGAAAGACCAGAAACCCGAGGCCTACTAGCTTGTCCTATGGATGGATAATTTGGCAGTTGAGGACCCTGAGCCATGAGAGGTTGCAATGGTACTGGGACATTACCTGGAAGCGAGACTGCATTTGAGCTAGGTTGAGCAGCTTGAGGTTGTGGGGTTGGCCGAAGAATAAATTGGTTTAAAGCATCTGAATAAGCTTGCCCAGATAGGGCTCCACGCATCCGGGCTGTGGGCCTCCAGTTTTGGTCAGCTTGATCACGAGTATCTGTTCTCCTGACTGATAGTGAAGTAACTTCAGTATTCTCTATCTGATGAGCAACAGAAGACGTCCTATGAGCATCAGCATTTAGTGAATATGGGTGAGCTCTCGATGTCTCAATGCGCCTTGCCATCGGCCCGTTTCTCTGATTAGGGACCATTAAACGAGATTGCTGACTCCCAACAATGCCTGTTGACCGATCAACCCCACTTCGTGAACTTACCCCATGATTTTGCGGGCCCAAGAAATTGGCAGACGGTTGTATTGATGATTGGACTTGTCCAAAAGGCTGATTGATTGCATGAGAAGCCGCAAGGTTTGCCATTTGCAATTGACTTGAACTCTGGCGTTCATATGAAACTCTATAAGCATTTGGCACCTGATTGGGAGGTTGAAGACCAATATTATGCTGAGATGGAAGAACAGGAGGAACCGAACGGTTTTGCTGATCACAATTCACCAAAGACGAGATCAATTAAGAAACCTATGTATATTATTAATCATACTTTGTGTATCTGTAACTAAGTATAAACTGTATACAAAAGTAATTATGCATAGAAGCTTACCTGTATACCCAAGTACTGCTGCACTGAAGATGAAGGCATTCGTGACACCTGGGATGAAGTTGAATGGAGTGTAGAGAAACCATCTGCAAACAATCGTGCAGAAGGTGAGGCTTGAGAAGCTGCTGAAGGGCTATTCTGTATAAACACGTCCATATTATTTCTTGATCTCTGTTGAAGGACAGAAGTAGGAGGCTGTGTAGGAAAGGCCTGAATTGCAATTGGCGTTCTTGTTGCATGGCTGGATATTGAAGGGAGCTCACCGTACTCGTTACCCATATTTGGATTTCCAAATTGATACTGCTGCAGTTGCGAAATATTTGGCAAAGCCGTTTCACTTTCCATCACAAAAGTCGTGAGAGGAATATTTCCTTGGAAAGCATCAAGTTCCCAATTAGAAACACTAGTAATTGGTGGATTTGATCTAACATTTAATGTCCCCATTTCATAGGTGGACAAAAAAATTCCCGACCAAAAGTCATCATCAGTCTGAGCAATGTTTTGATTAACATCATTTGTGTTGGCCATTTGAGGGTTGACACTTGGAGTCTGAGTTATAGAAAGACTTTGATGGGCAGTTGGAGAAAGTTTTCTGTCTTCACTTTCTCTAGTGGCAACTGCATCTGTCACATCATCTATTTCTGTAAGATCAAGAATCTCCACAGATGCATCTGCTAAACCAGCAGATTCAATTCCTCTGGGCACGTCCTGTCCAACATTGAAGGTCTTCTCCTCTGGTTCCTTTGTAGCATCATCAGTATCCATGACAGCATTCCACGACCCGTCTGATGAGATGATTACCTCTTTGGCATTTGGTCCAACATCTTTCAATACCTGAAGAAATTCCAACTACATCACTCAAAACTGAGGAATTTAAGAATATAGGGCTGAAAGTAAATAAGCTACTTACCTTCACCATAATTTGATCAAGGCGGATATCAGTGAAGCAGACATACTGATTACAATGCGGACAACGCCATGACGGCCTTCTTGAATTTATATTCACATAGTTGTCGTAATCAAAACACTGAAAATGAAAGGGAATATAAAAGCATCAACTAGGATTAAGTAAAAAAATAAGATTTTAAACCTAACAGACTGCAGGTAGGGCTTGGCCTTAACCCCTATCCTGTTCAAACAGATAGATTAGTTCATCTAACTCTCATTTAATTGACCAATGACATCTTTTTTGTAGTCAAAATAGAATCTTAGAGATGAAGAACAATAAGCTAGCAGAATATGTATATTCACACACTAAAGCTAGACCATCACAACTGAAGAATTCAATATCCACTTGACCACAATAGGCTTAGGAGAAGAATTTTTTGACATTTTTTTTTTTTTTTTTTTTTTTTCTATTTTAAACCTAACAGACTGCAGGTAGGGCTTGGCCTTAACCCCTATCCTGTTCAAACAGATAGATTAGTTCATCTAACTCTCATTTAATTGACCAATGACATCTTTTTTGTAGTCAAAATAGAATCTTAGAGATGAAGAACAATAAGCTAGCAGAATATGTATATTCACACACTAAAGCTAGACCATCACAACTGAAGAATTCAATATCCACTTGACCACAATAGGCTTAGGAGAAGAATTTTTTGACATAACACTTCAACTTACACACAAAACATGTACTAAAAGGCGAAAAATTCCCTGGCGGGCTTGAAAGTGTGGAACTTGTCTACAGTTATGTGATGCTTGCAGTTACCTGGAGATGTTTGCATGAATGTCCTTTGATTGGAGTTTTAATACGCGTTAAGCTGTTCAAGATTCAGAACGAAGATAACTTAATCAGCAGTGCATCAAGGGGCAGCAAGTAGAGTTGAGATTCATGGAATGGTGATGTGATAATAATTAGTACATACGTGAAAGGATATATGAGAAAAATGAAATGATGAACATCAGATAAGCTATATGATGATAGAAACAAAATGCAAGATAAAATATGAAATTCAGCATCAGGCATTGAAGCTGCAGGAGATACATGAGTGTTAAAATGTTTAACGTTGTTTAAACAGTATCCTTTGGATTAGAAATCATTTCCAGCATTATCATGCTGCATAATACGAGAAAAAAAGGCAATGGACTAGCAGGAACAGATAACCTGGTTAGGCAAACAAATCGAAAGGGTACCTAATAGGACAACTTATTGAAATCCGTGATGCCCCCTCAATAATTTCAGAATCTACATAGCAAAGGAAACAATCAGTATACAATGTAATTTCAGTCCAGCAAAGTAACAAATCTCATCCATAGGACATGTTATCATAAATGATTGCTGTTTACAGTAAAACTAGTGAGGAAAAAAAAAAATGCATTGTCGCACCAGAATCTATGGTTGCAGGAGCATGCTGCACATAATCTTGAACGACATTAATATCAGGAGTTGACGTTGTACTCATGAAAGCAACAGCTATAATGTATTTTCCTTCACAATAATTAACAACGAATAACTTTTTCGAATAATCATCAAGTAAACCCAAAATATTGGAACTAGAAACCTGTGTTACCGTTAAAATCACCCACAGCTTGAAGAAGATTTGATCCATATTTCAGCATATGTGTCACAAGTGTTGGAAGTTGAGGTCCAGTATCCTAGTAAAGCCAACTAATATGAGTATATAAAATTCCATGACATAATTAGCTTAAATGTAGATATGACTCGTTAAATTTAATCCACAACAAACCGTGTAGAAACTAGTCCTTCTATCCACTCCCTTTCCATTCAACAGAAAGCTGCAGAAGCCAAATGCAAAAGGACACTTGAAATAATAATACTATAATATTGAATTCAGCAAGAAAGATAATGGAACAACATGCTTACGTCACTTTGGGAGGACTACAGAGACATGAAGATGTCTGAATGCTATCTGCTCGCACAACAAATAACCTCTGCTAGGCAAAAGGAATAAAAAGATAAACAATCCATTGATATTATCACCAAATCGATCTATACTTAGATGAAACTACGATAATCTAAATAAGAATAAATTCATGACTACGTTGTAATTTAAACCTTTAATCCATAATCAGATGCTAACTATCAACAGATGGTCTTAACTGTCGATAGATGGTCTGGTACTGATGCTCCAAAAAAATAAAATAAAATAAAAATCTGGATTCTAATAATTTGCAAACTTAGCAATATGAAATTTGTCGATAAAAGCTAAAAATGGAAAGAAAATATTAATAATTAGTAGATTGTGCAATTGAACTTGAAGAGTAACATTAGAGTTAAAATAAAGTACCATTAGTTTTTGTCTTCTCATGGAAAAAATTAAAAGATTACTACCTATGAGCAATATGTACGAGGTAACAAGTTTTAATACAATCACATCTACCGCCGTTAGTGACTTATCTCAAAATTATAGTTACCTTGCCTAAAGTACAGGATTCAACTTGGGTACATAGGAGATGCTTACAATTTTATCTTCTCGAGAAAACTTAACACTCTTCACAATCCGGAAGTCGTGCACATAAGTACCATATCCAGGCTACAATGTAGACATAGAAGTGCACCAATCATATCAGTTATTCAAATTATGTGACATTTATACCCAGGGGTACGGAAGGAAAAGGATAGGGAAGATAACCACCTGAATTTCAAGAAAAGTGAATATATGACCCATTTTCATTGTTGGGTAAAATCTGCATTAGGTACACGACCAGGATTCTCAGTTGCATAGTTAATGGTATAAAATATGTTAATGGCATAAAATATTGACTGGGGCACAATATAAAATATCGTGTTTAGAATTTGCATAAAAAAGGTAAGAACCTTACGAATATCAATCCAAGAACCTCAGCATGGTTTAAAAACAAGTAAACAACCGAAGTTGGAGTTATCAAACAAGTCTATAGAAATATTTATCAACAGTTCTCCCCAAGTAACTATCAGATCCAAATGAGAGAACTATAAGATGTCAGACAACACCAAAAATATATGCATACCAATAATGTTAACAAGAGTACCTAGCACCAGAAGTTTAACGAAAAACTGAATGCACATGCAATTGTGGGAAACCAGTTCTCTTTTCAGTTTAAGCGACTGGATCTAATATCACAAATTTTTTTTTTTTTGATAGGTAGATCTAATATCACAAATGAATTACAGAAACATCTCAAGCACAGTATTTTTATTCAAGAAAATCTGGACATAATAGAGAATTCTATTTATCCACATAAATATGAGCATGTGCAAGCCTCCTTGAGCAAAACTATCAGTATATCACTCAATAGTGATGGCTAGAATATGAATTTCCTCGAATAGAAGGCGAGTGATTACTTAGTAGTTCAGTTGCAAGAAAGCACACTGACATTATAAACAAACCAAAGTGAGTTAGAGATGAATACATACAAATTACAGAATCATTCTATAGCCAAGCATGTAATTCATCTAGACAACAAACTGAAGACAAGAATTGCAGGTGTGTTGTCAGCATATTGCACATGGAACTCAAAGATATATGCTCGTATGCTAATACCCATTGACAGCAGCTAAATTCCAGCGTCTATATTCCCAAGCATGTGGACTCATCAAACGCAGGATTGAAAGAGAAAGAAAAAAATAGCTCCTCTGTCAAGTAAAACGATCATAGAGATTCTTACAAATTCCTATACTTATAATTGCCCCCCTTTTTTTCCAATTTTGTTCATAATGTTGAAACATTCAATAAATTGAATACATGTCGACTTCAATGCATACTTGTGGTATACAGTATTTTCGAAGATGAGATGAATTTTTCTTTCCCATGAATTGCGTTTCTTTTGCTTTATCTTCACTTGAAAATAAATGGGTCTCGACATCCGATTGGTCAGCTTAATAATTTCTACATATTGAGCCACAGATTCGAAGTAAAAACAATACAAAATGGTGAAAAATCAGAATCCTGGTCTATGCTAATCCTAATAATGAAAAAGATCATTACTTAGAGATTTACTCCAGTGCCGCAAAACCAGCATTGTCTAGCAAGCTTTTGCATGGATGTGAACTTTCAGAGCATCGTCATATGATCATCTTTTATATTTTGGGACTACAGAATATCTATTGAAATAGTCACAGTATTTTACCTCGACATAATTGTTGAGATAACACAATGCGAACTGGTTGGATCGGTGTTAAAATTTGATACACTGGAAAAATTGCATGCTATCTGATTACGCAGAAAGACCCAGAAAATCAGTATAATTCAGAATTTATCTACAAGAAAAGCAATTGTGGATGAGATAACAAAAAATACTAACAAACCTCCTTCGCCAGATTTTGAAGTTCTTCGGAATCGTTATCTGAAAACCACCCACTTTCACAAGCACTCTACAGAACAAATCACCAGTTCAGAAAGAGAACTAGAAAATAAGATGGTTTTTTCTCCCTAATATAAGATATTGTAGACTTCTTTGAATGAAGGAGATATCAATTTTCAGGTAACATCTGAACATCTAGAGAAAAAATGAAAGACCATGAATGGAAAAATTGCATACCGGATGTGCAAGGAATATGTAACTCTGAATGCACACATGTTATTTCACATTTCCATACATGGCTTTTAAGGCGTGAATATCTCCAGGAAGTGACACAACATGGTTTGACTCAATTTCAGTCATAGAATCGTAAACTCAGCCTCAAAAATGCTTTATAATCCAAGACCTAAGGATTTAATGGAGTCACAGCCCCCTCCCACAAAGGAACTCTGTACCAGTTACTCCCACGCGTAAATTCAATCAATCTGGTATTTGATCATCCGTAAGCCCATCAAGGCAATCACCTCTATGGTACTTAGGATTCTTTAGCACACATACGATCAGTCATGCAGATTAATTTCCCACTTCCTTACAATTGCCGGCATCACCAGCTAGCTTTCACGTAAATGGCACGCAATTACCCATTTCACAGGTTTGGAATGTACATTAAACTCATCTACTAACCTAGTTCACCCTAGTAAACATCAACACAACAATCCAACCATCTTTTCTGGCCAAATTGGATTATAATCTTTGACAATATAAGGAGTCTCTATCATTATAATATTAATGCATTAAACGAGCTCAAGCTTATCCGTGAACTTGGTTTATATGGCAAATTGTACTCATGCTAGGAGCCAATATATCACAAAAGAGAATATGACAACTGAAAGAATTTGACTTGACATGCATCTATTCAACAAGAAAAACAGTATGTCAAAGTGCGAATTTTGTAGTGTCATATAATTATCGGCTGGATAAAATAAATTACCTTAACAGAGATCATCAGAACCATAACAGCTGCTTGCACTACAGCATCATTTTTATATTGGCAGACCTATAAGATGATTAGAAAAGAATGATAAAAGGCTTTAGATCATCACTTCAACACGTATATCAGACAAATTACACGTTGGAAACAAAAGCCAATAAACAAGCGAAGAAAAGAAACCATTGAAATGTGGAAGAATAGATCATATTTATCTATAATTATATAAAGGAATAGTAGCATGTCAGTAAGGTTTTCCAATCTACTGATATCAGATTTATGAAGATTATATGGGGAGGACCCAGAACCGACTGAACCGGACCAGAACAGTCAGAAGTCAGTCCATTCCACTATAGACAAAATTGGAATATGTCAAGGTGAAAAGGGATCGCGGCCGTTCATGTCAGGATTAAAGGTTGAGTTATTAATATTATTCAGTGATCCTAGCTTAGGAGGGGTCCGTCAACATACAAAGCAACACCTAGGTAGCTGACGATAAATCAGACCAGCCTACCCAAACTCTATAGTTAGGATAGGTTGGTGCATTACCAACCAGGAAACCACATATTATCACACAATAAACCTCCAGACAGAGATCACTACTACCCTAACAGCTGCACCTCCAAATCTCCTTTTACCACGTCCCAACTATTGGTGTTAAAATTTCTTCTTCCAAGTTCCAAGTTCTTGTTTT